CAGGAAGAGGACCGGAGTGCATGCTCATGCAAAGGTGACTCATTGGTAGAAATAACATTGTGCAGCTGGGTCTGCGTCGTTTTTCTACCAGTGTTCTATCCTGATATTCTCACCTTCTGTAGCCCCTGGCACTGGTGGTAGACAGCTGTTATCTATCTTATTTGACATAAGAAGTGATAAACAGGTATCCAGCTGGCTCCTACTCTGTAGCCATTTTACTTCAATTTTTAGGAGGAGGGAGCACTACTACTTCCTCTCTTTACTCCCAGCACATCTAATGCTGGCCCTGACCTGACTGGACTTTGTGTGGAGGTAAAGACAGGCCCTTGATATACAAAATGTGGTAAGAGGGCCAGTGGAATCTGTATCACTGGGGAGCTCCTTAGAAATGCAGAATCTATACTCCTCCCTCACCAGAACTACTGAATTAGAATCTGTATTTCAGTGAGATCCTAGGTTGATCAGGTTTGAAAGCACTGGCCTGGGCCGCTAGTACCCCTAGAAGTACTCACCTCACCTGTTGCTACTTTCTGTTCATTTACAATAATATGAATTTGTAGGATCTGTGATAGCCACCTTCTTCATCTGTAAAATGGGGACTGTAATGCCTACCTTGATATGTAATGTAGCTTATGATGATGTGTAAAATATCCAGCACAGCACCTTAGATGGGTGGGTATTCTGTAATGGTAGCCATTATTAAGTTTGTGTCATCATCCTCTTGGATTTTAATAGTCCTTTGAAAGTCTTTATAAATAAGTTACCTACCTCCCTAACAACCACTAATCTGCATCAGGGATATGGGTGACTGAAAGTTAAATGAGAATGGGATTGTGGCTGGTCCATAATTAAAGATATGCTTATTTTTTAATTAAATGGCATAGGTGGGATAGCTTTAGGAAGCATAGAAGTTGTCAGCTTTCTAGGGCTGACTGATTTCTAGAAATATCTGATATTAATGCTTGTAGCACTGAGATGGGAGCATACATTAAAAAAATGTTTCATGTCAGTGAGATGGGAAATGTAAATCAAAAATACAGTGAAGTACCACTACAACCCATTAGAATAGCTGAAAATAAAAATACAGTGATACCAAAGTGTTGGTGAGGATATGAAGAAGCTCTAATTCCCATACATTGCTGGTGGAGATGTAAAATGGTACAACTATTTTGGAAAAGTGTTTGGCAATTTCTTAAAAAGTTAACAACAATAAAAAGGAACAAACTCCAGCAGGCAGAAACCCAGGACATAGTTGAACTCAACACCATTAATCACTTGAGTATATTTGATATCTATAGATTAATTCACCCAACAACAACAGAATATACATTCTCTTCTCAAACTCACATGGAACAGTCACCAATACAGACTACATTCTGGGCCATAAAATTTAAAAGAATTGAAATCATACAAAGTCTGCTCTCAGACCACAGTGGAATTAAACTAGAAATCAATAACAGAAAGACAGCTAGAAATTTCCCAAATAAATGAGACATTGAACAACACACTTCTAAATAACACATGAGTCAAAGAAGAACTCTCAAAAGAAATTAAAAAATGTTTTGAACAAGATGAAAATACAACTGATCAAATTTATGGGAATCAGTGAAAACAGTGGAAGGAAGAAAGATCTAAAATCAATAATATAAGCTTCCTCATTAGGAAACTAGAAAAAGAAGAGTAACTTAAAAGTTAGCAGAAGAAAGGAAATAGTAAGACTATGGGAAGAAATTAATGAAATTTAAAAGATAAAATTAATAGAGAAAATCAACAAAATCAAAAGCTATTTGATAAGCATTGAGTCAGGCTAAGAAAAAAAGAGAGCACAAATTACTAATATCAGAAATGAAAGAGAAGACATTACTACAGATCCTATAGACATTAAAAAAGGTTAATTAAGGAATGAACAACTTTATGCCTACAAATTTGATAACCTAGATGAAATGGACCAATTCTTAAAAAACACAATTTGCCAAAACTCACACAAAAAGAAACAGACAGTCTAAATAGGCCTGTACAGGCATACCTTGTTTTATTGGGCTTCACTTTACTATGCTTCACAGATGTTTATTTTACAAATTGAAGGCAAGGCCCTCCACCAGTAAAAAGATTATAACTCGCTTTATTGTGTTATTCACTTTATTGGAGTAGTCTGCGATTGTACCCTCAATATATCTGAAATATGCCTGTTTATATTTTAAAAATTAAAGCAATAATTAATAGCCTTTCAGAACAGAAATCATCAGATTCAGATGAGTTCACTGGTAAGCTCTATCAAACATCCAAGGAAAAAATTATATCAATTTTCTATATTTCTGAAGATAGAAACAGGAAATACTTTTTAACTCATTCTATGAGGCCAACATTTATTACCCTAGTATCAAATCCAGACAAAGATATTATAAGAGAACTACAGGTCAATAGGTCTCATAAGCATAGGTGCAAAAATCCTTAAGAAAATATTGACAAATTGAATTCAACAATGTATAAAAAAATTATATATTACAATCAAATGAGATTTATCTCAGGTATGCCAGGCTGGTTCAACATTTGAAAATCAATTCATGTAATTTATTACTTCAACAGATTAAAAAAGAAAAATTGAATGATTTTATCAGTAAATTCAGAAAAGCACTTGACAGAATCTAACACTCATTCATGATAAAAGCTCTCCATATACTAGAAATAGAGGGGGACTTCAAAAACTTGATAAAAAATACCTACAGATAAACTAAAGCTAACATCATACTTCATGGTGAGAAACACAAACCTTTCCCAGTAAGATCAAGTAGAAGTCAAGGATGTCCCCTCCTACCACTTCTTTTCAATATCATACTAGAATTTTGAATCAATGGAGTAAGATGAGAAAAGGAAATAAAAGGTATGCAGCTTGAGAAGGAAGAAATAAAACTGTTTTCTGCTTGCAGATGACAAGCTGTTATGTGTAGAAAATCTGAAAGAATCAATAAACTCCCAGAACTAATAATAAGTAACTATAGCACAATTTCAGGATGTAAGGTTAATATATAGAAGTCAGTTAATTTCCTATATATACCATGTAGCAATGAATAAGTGGAATTTGAAATTAAAAACACAATATTATTTACATTAGCACCCCCCAAAATGAAATATTTAGGTATAAACTTAACAAAAAATATATAAGATTTATATGAGGAAAAATACAAAACTCTGATGAATAGAATCATGGAAGAACTCAATAAATTGAGAGATCTTCCATCTTCATGGATAGGAAGACTTAATATTGTCAAGATAACAGTTCTTCCCAATTTGATCTATAGATTCAATAAAAACTTAATCAAAATTTCAGCACGTTGTTCTGTGAATATTGACAAACTAATTCCACAGTTTACACAAAGAGGTAAAAGACCTAGAATAACCAGCACAATATTAGAAGAAAAGCAAAGCTGGATGACTGACAGTAGTTGACTTCAAGACTCACTATAAAGCTACACTAATCAAGACAGTGTGGTATTGGCAGAAGAGGAGATGAATAAATCAATGTAAGAGAATAGAGAGCCCAGAAATAGACTCACATAAATAGTTAACTGATCTTTGGCAAAGGAGCAAAGACAACACAATAGATTTTTCAGTAAATGGTGCTGAACAACTGGAAATTCACATGCAAAAATAATTTAATATAAACAAAGATCTTAAACCTTCCACAAAAATTAACTCAAAATGGATCATAGATGTATATAAAATGTAAAACTATAAAACTTTTAGAAGAAAATATAGGAAAAAATCTAGTTAACTTTGGGTATGGAGAGGACGTTTTAGATACAACATCAAAGGCAGGATCCATGAAAAAAATAATAAGCTAAACTTAATTAAAATGAAAAACTTCTGTGCAATGTCAAGAGAATGAGAAGAAAAGTCACAGACTGGGAGAAATTATTTCTAAAATCACATCTGATAAAGGACTGTTATCAAAAAATATTTAAGAGTTTAAGAACTCTTAAAACTCAACAATAAGAAAATAACCCAATTAAGAATGGATCAAAATCCTGGACAGATACCTCATCAAAGAACACAGATAGATGGTAAGTAAGCACATGAAAAGATGCTCCACATTATATGTCATTAGGGAAACGCAAAGTGAAACAACAGTGAGATGCCTCTACATGCCAATCAGAATGGCCAAAATCTGGAATACTAACAGTGTCAAATGCTACCAAGGGTATGGAACAACAGGACATCTCATTCATTGCTGGTGATACTATAAAATGGTACAACCACTTTTATGGTACAGTTTAGCAATTTCTGACAAAACTAATTATGCTTTACTGTAGGATCTAGAAGTTGTGCTCCTTGTTATGTTATTTACCCAAATGAGTTGAAAATTTATGTCCATGCAAAACCTACATGTGGATGCTTATAGCAGCTCAAACTTGGAAACAACCAAGATGTCCTTCATTAAGTGAATGAATAAACTGTAGTACATCCCGACAGTGGAATATTATTCAGCACTAAAAAGAAATGAGCTATCAAGCCATGAAAAGTGCAGAGGAAACTTAACCGCATATTACCAAGTCAAAGAAGCCAATCTGAAAGGGCTGTAATAGTATATGATTCCAGTTCTATGATGTTCTGGGAAATGCAAAACTTTGGAGACACTAAAATGATCAGTGGTTACCAGTGGTTAGGGGAGAGGGAGGGATGATGAGCAAGCAAAGCAAAGAGGATTTTTAGGGCTGTGAAACTACACTGTATGTTACTGTAATGACAGATACATGTCACTAGAATTTGTCCAAACTAAGAATGTACAATACCTAGTGTAAACTCTAATTTAAACTATGTGTAAATATAGTTTCCTCGATTGTAACAAGTTTGCAATCGAGGTGTAGGATTTTGACAATGGAGGAGGCTGTGCCTTTGCTGGAGCAGGGGCTGTGTGGGAAATATCTGTACCTGCCATTCACTTTTGCTGTGAACCTAAAACTGCTGTAAAATATAAAGTCTGTTTTTTAAAAGGTATATTATACAGAGCTTAGCACATTGAATGTGCCTAAAGAACTGTTATCCAATTCCAAAATGTATTTTCTATTATATAACCCATCACATTTCCTCTTGACTAGCTCTCTCTCTCTCTCACTGCCATAGAATGTTCAAAACAGAATACAGAGAAGGAGAGACTGTTGTGACCTAGGCAAGAATTATGCATTTAGAATGCCACCAAAAGAAGCCAGGTCAAAGAAAGAGTAAGAGTACATACTTTTACATAAATTAATCTCCACTTAATGATAATGGCATTGAAGATACTGACAGCTGCCAGTTGCTTTGTGAAGGTCATATTCCGACCTACCGTTCTCGGCCGTTCTTGGGAGGTTTTACTTGGCCACGAGACCTCACTGAGGAGCTTCTCATTTAAATACAATATTCCTCCATCAGCCAAATATGGTGGGCGGCACACTGTGACTATGGTTCCTGGGGATGGCATTGGGCCTGAACTTATGCTGCAGGTCAAGTCTGTGTTCCGATACGCGCATGTGCCTGTGGACTTTGAGGAGGTGAGAGTTAATGCCACTTCTTGTGAAGAGGACCTTCACAATGCCATCATGGCAGTCCGTCGAAACCGTGTGGCCCTGAAGGGCAACATTGAAACTGACCACAACCTGCCACCATCTCAGAAATCCCTCAACAACATGTTTCGCACTGCTCTAGATCTCTATGCCAATGTCATCCATTTTAAGAGTCTGCCAGGTGTGAAGACCCGGCACAATAACGTTGACATCTTAGTTGTTCGAGAAAACACAGAGGGTGAATACAGCAACTTGGAGTATGAGAGTGTGAAAGGAGTGATACAGAGCCTAAAGATCATTACTGAGGCCAAGTCTCTGCGCATTGCTAAATATGCCTTCTGGCTGGCCCAGAAGATGGGGCGCAAAAAAGTGACAGCTGTGCACAAGGCCAACATCATGAAACAGGGAGATGGTCTCTTCCTCCAGTGCTGTAAGGAGGTGGCATCCCACTATCCCCAGATCACCTTTGAAGGCATGATTGTGGATAACACCACCATGCAGCTGGTATCCCGACCCCAGCAGTTTGATGTCATGGTAATGCCCAATCTTTATGGCAACATTGTCAACAATATCTGCACAGGGTTAGTTGGTGGAGCGGGCCTTGTGCCTGGTGCCAACTACGGCTCCAAACACGCAGTATTTGAAACAGCCGCAAGACAGTCAGGCAAGAATATAGCCAATAAGAATATAGCTAACCCTACTGCCATGCTACTGGCAAGTTGTATTATGCTGGATTACCTGAAGCTATACTCCTATGCCACCTCCATTCGAAATGCAGTCTTGGCATCCATAAAGAACAAAGATGTCCATACTCCAGATATCGGAGGCCAGGCTACCACAGTAGATGTCACTAATAATATCATAAACCACATCACTTAAATCAGTTAAATTGTCAGTACCTTGGAATCTGAACTATTCCCTCCCAAAGTCTTTCTAACCCACTCTTTACCTCAGTCTATCCACTCAGAAATTCCAGCCAACTTGGCTAGTGTGGACTCCAGATAAACTAGCTTCTGCTCCAACTCAGAAGAGTTGGGGAAAAGTTATTTAATCTGATTTTTTTTCCTATTAAATTAAAATGCCATAAATACCATAGCATTGCTTGTTTAAATCAGCCAAACCTATTGTGTTATATGTGTATTGAGAAATTCTTCTCTATTTTAATCCACAATTCATACATATCTGTGATATGATATTCTAAATAAGTCATTGCTATTTGGAGAGTCCTGGTGCTTTCCCAGAATTTGGCACATGGATTTTCTCTTTATCTGTGTCATTAAAATCCAGCAAACCAGCCTACAAAGAAGTCTGGCTTCCCTCTAGAGGTCGTTAATGAGTTAATTAATGCAATAAAATTTGCCTGCATAATATACGTTATAACCGCAATAATAAATAAGGTACTGTAAAGCTGAACGAGTAGACAGTGCATTCACTCCCTCCTAGATTTCCTCCCGTGCGCCATGGTCTTGTTTGTATTAGGGAAGATATTTCTCTGGTGTCATTCTTGACACATCAACATCCCTGGGCACTGCAGCTCTCCTAGAAAGTGAATTTTTGAATTCTTTCAGTTGGGTTCGAGAGTCTACAGGTCAAATTCCTGGTTAACAGGCACCAGGCCCAAGATTCTTTGCTCTTCAAATAGAACCATGTACTGTAAACTTCATGGTCACTGCTTCACAATCTCTCGTGGTTTACTTTCTTTTAGTCTCTCTTTCAAAGGAAGAGTGTACGTAAGAAAAATGAAAAGCACTGAGCTAATTTAAATGTTTACTGTCATTTTACTATATTTTATTTACAGTATTTTTAAGGCTATCATTGAGAAATGATTATTTTATTAGTGCTTGGAAATTGTTATTCCTCAAGTAGGAAATAAACACAATGGTTTTAATACAGTAGTTTTATCAGCAGGA